AGTCCCACCTTCCCACAACTTTGTACACCTTCTCCTTACTTTCATTATTGGAAATGGACTCTAGCCCAGCCCACAAAAATTCAGAAATACAAGGACAGTATCACATACAGTGGGGAAAAACCCCCATACTTCTAGCTCAATTTATTTGTATATGTACACACCAAGAGTTTGCAGAACCTCGTACCACAGCCAAACACAGGCAGATTTCCAAGCGCATTCCTGTCAAAGATCAGTTCTCAGTAAAGTTTCAAGCCCTCAAATTCCACATCACAGCTGTCTTCTGAGAGGCATCACACTTTACATCTGCCTCATCCAACTTCAAGTTCTCTTTAGCAGAGCATAAGCCATTGCACAACTCCTGTGGGAAGTTTTAGTCAAAACAACTCCAACTGGCATAAAAACTTGAAAGCTTCAAACCATATGAAAAGATGCTAGCAAGTAAGATGAGGGTCATTTTATTCTGCACGACACCTTATATAACAGCAGGATAGGAATATCTTTTTACAAAAAATATCATTGATTGCAAGGATTAATTTTGGTTTAGTTACTCGCCTTAAGCTTTTCTTCATCCTTCCTTTAACATATCCGTTCTGCACTGCCATGAGCATGCAACATACAGCTCAGAATTACCCTCAACATGTATACGGTAATGAGAGATTGTTTATACTGTATCAGTGTAATTTTGTTAGATAACACTAGCAACTGAAGACTAATGTTTTAACAAAAAGGTTCCAGGCTCCCCAGCATTACTTTAATACAGATTTGTCAAGCAAAGATTAAGCAACAGTTCATATGATTTAGGGTCATGGCATCGGCTAGACTACAGTTCCTTTTCAAAGGAATGTTATGAGAACTTAAAAATATGTTAAAACATGCAAACACATTCCTAGAAAAAACTGAGACTAAAAGGGTGTGTGATGAAAAAAATTAAGTCTTTATTGAAATATTGTACTACCAAGTTTAAAAATACTAAGATTTTAAAAAATAGATATAATTAAGATTCTCCATAACAATTCCATCTACTTCACAAATACATTGATGTGTACAAAACTCTTGAATTTTTACTTGGAGAAATATCTCATACAGTTGAAACTCACGTGTGATGACACATGCTTGGCACTATCTGTTTTCTGCCACAGAAGAGATCAAATGGCCGGTGCTGTTTATTAAAGTTGAGGCAAGTTTTTGTAACACGAGATGCATTTCTCAAAATGGCAGAGAAAAATACCCTACTGTAATTTTTTTTTTTTAAAACTTCATATAGAAGAGATACGGTAATTCAGAAGTGCTGAACAGGAACAGATGTAATCAATCTCAGAGGCAACAAGTATGCAGATACTAGAGCTTGCCGTTTTAGCAAATAAGCCAGGGATCACCAGCCGCCAGACTGGAGCTGTCAGAGCCCCCTTGCGGACACAACACACACACTAGTTGGAGCTTTTCTTGCCTGACTGCAATTGCATGTTCTTAGAACAAGCCAAGCCAACAAAAGCACTCCTGTCATCGTAGCTACAACCAGGGTATGCCAGTAGAACTTAACTGGGGCACAAGAATCTTTCTTACAGGCAAAGACCACCCTGGGGTTTTCCCACAATTATGAAAGACCAGAAGACATTTCCAGCATTTTAAGTAAATTAGAATTTATACAAGTTACCATACCAAGTTAAATCATAAACTCAGGACCCTATTTCTGCAACACTGGTTGAAAGTGAACACACAGGAAGCAAAGAACAGGGCATGCATATAGTTATAATCCCAGTCCCTAGCTTTCTATGCCTCAAGACTTGATCCAATAACAGCATCTCTGTATTTAGTAGATCGATTTTACTTTGTTCAGGCCCATGAAAGATTTTGATTTCTCAGCTCTACATATAAGTTAGATGAATATAAAATTATAGTTCCCCCTGTAATACTGAAAGACTCAAGCACCACTACTACATGCAAATAAGGAACAAGGGTCTAACAGACTCTGGTCAGGCAGAATAGTTGCAAGAAGCTTTCTTATCCCAAAGAATAATTCTACTCCTCTATTACAAAGGTCATACTACACATTCTTGCTCCAGGACAGCTTCACAATTCACAAAGCAGAGTGTTACTACGAAGAGGCATATATTGAGATTGGTGTCATTAAGAAGCAAGCTTGAAGTCTAGAGTGTCTTGTTTAAAGGTCCACATTCAAGCTTGAACATGATCTTCCATTCTATTTGTTAACGCGGGGCTCAGACATTTTTCCTTTCATTATTAGCATGATCTCTTCCACTCATCAGTTAAACCAACTTATGTCATTTCATACATATTTTTTGCCTCTATCATTTATGAAACAGACTGTTATATTTTAAAGCCAGCACAAACACCCTCTTGGGAATATGCTATAAATCCATAAATATTATTTAATTACCCATCTAGTTTAGAAACAAACTTGCTTATAGGTCTCCAGGTTAGAACCAAACCAGGAAGTTGGATATAGTTCAGATTCCAAAATATCAATTTCCAATGGGACCTGAGTTTCTACGCAAGTAAAACTTGCACAGCACTTCTCCGTTTCTGCTGCTTGTTGCACAACCTTTTCAAACTAGCACGTCTTCAAAATAATCAGGAACTTTTCACGGGTGTTTCTTCAGTGTTCACAAGTTAGGCATCCCACACAAATTTTAACTGTGCAGTCCAGAACTGTAGGTACATTTTAAGCATTCTTAATGCTCTCAAAACTGAGGATATGTTGGTGGTGCCAGATGTTGCCTTGATGGTACGCTGAAACTATTTACCTGGCATGCAGAAAAACTGGAGCTCAAACCATCCCCACTAAAAAGCTTCAAGGGACAATAAAACTGCCTAAGTAGAGCTCAACTGTCAAGGCACAATAAGGGGCTTAATTTCCAGGCACTATCACAAATCAGAAAGACACAGAGATACCTGACTTGGAAACAAAGAGTGTCCTGTTCCAAGAAGCCAAAATGATACTTTCCTTCCGATCTTTCTCACCAGCTAATTTAGCCCTCCCCTTTTTAAAAACAAAACAAAGCCCCTTTCTGCTGACAGTATCATTCTTAGATGCCTACCTTCTCGTGCACTGTGTAAGAACCTCAAATCACCAATTCATAACTAGTAATTCTGTTCAGCAGCAGAATGCCTAGAAGTAACCTAATTTGTGACTAACTGGGAGCATTTAAGCCATGCAGTTTGAATACTGGCGCTTTTATTACTGCTTTCAAAATGAGGTGATAGGTCTTCTAACGGGAACATCAGGCAAATGTCAGGAGTCTTATGGGAGTCGCATTAATACTTCTTCTGAACAGATGATTTAAATCAGTATCTGGAAAAATACAAGAAGTTTCACTTAGGCTGACAGAAGACTGGACAAGGTAACAAATTATCTCTGCTGTGTACACGGGCTAGTTGTTCTAAGTCTTGTCAGTAGGGAAAAGTGTTTATCCACTAAGAGAGTGCTGCATATTGCATAATCCAAAAGCATTTGACCATACTAAATATGTTATTAAAAAGCATTCTGTTAAGCTTAGTATTAATCTCACAGGCCAATCTCACAAAACTACAGTGAGTAACTGCAAATTCAGGTACTTTTATTTACCCAGTACACAGACTTCAGAGAAACTTTCTAACATTTATAGCAGTTTTTCAGTGTCCAGCAGATGTTACTCTACTTGCTAAACAATATCAGACTGCAAAATTGCTCTTACTGTTGATAGATCGATAATGACATGGGTTAAGTCATTATCTCCGTGGCAACAGAATTGTCACTGTCAGAGGAATATTGCGCATCTTGCTGCTGCGACTCTTACAGGCATGCCTCGGCTTCCTCGCACAGGTGCTCTCTCTGCAAGCCTGGTATGCCCAGAGTACCAACAACCAAGGGCATCTCTTGGACTACAGAGGATTAAACTACAAACTGCGGTTATGTTATTCCAGAAGGAGCACATCCTCACAAGGATTGTGAGTTACACTTCGGTTTGATGTCCTTATTCGCTGATAATTTCTAATGAACCACCTCCTTGTAGAACTAGCTAGAATTAAATTCAAGAAGGCAAATACTATGATGTTCTGTTCATAGCCCAACGTTTTTTTTAAAGATGACACTTAGGTGCCTTTAAGAATAGAAAGATCTCTTTCTTTTTACTCAATTTTAATTTAATTCCCCTCTGACTCCCCAGGATCTTAAAGTGGCAGGAGTCTTTCTTCTAGATTAAAATAACAAACTAGACCACTTGGGCTATTACACTTAACACTTGTTAAGCCTCTATATCTGTATATTGTACCAGTTCAACAAATAGAAAAACATATTTTTGTTTTGCAGAATTTACTGATATTTTATCTAGCACGAACTGGGTATTACTTTTCTTTTTCCATATTGCACAATCTTCCACCGTATTAATCACAACACAATCTCTTGATCAGCATGACTGTGCCTGGCTTCTGATGTTCTGCTGAAAACAAACCAGTATGTTTTTGCATAAAATGCACAATGTTCATCAACAATACAACATGTGAACTTTGCCTTTAGATTCATAATAGAAAGTATTTCTTCATAAATACATATACTTTCAAATACTGCAGCAATGCTTTTTTTTATTCATAAGCCGTTCACATGGGATGACAAACAGCAAGTTTGCCACAATTCCCTTTGGAATGTGTTCTAATTAAATTTAAATAAAAATCAACAGAAGCGACGCCTGAAAGTGGTTGCATAGCAAATGAAAAACAAGTTGTTACTCAAGCATCAACTGCATTCCACAAAAATCAAAAACTAGCAAATAGTCTTCCGAATTCTGAAGATGTGTCTGTAAAGCTCTCACACTAGTGAAACCAGGTGGGAAAAAATTCTTTTCTTTTTTACAAGTAATACAAATGGCCATTAATATACCAAAAATCCAGCTGCCAGAGCTGCAATGTACATTAATACTCAGAAATACACTTTGGTTTGTTATTTGTGAGAGGCTGTGGTTTAGTACAGAAGAAAACCTTTCAATGCTTTCTTCTACTTACAGGGTGGACCTGGCTGTTGTAGGAAACCTCCATGCTCTGTTCCAAGTTCTTGGAAAGAATGTGGTGTCTGCCCAGGAGCTCAAATGAAGCTGGCTGCACACATGGCCGTTTCCAGGACATCTTCCAAATTCAGTGTTTCTCTGGCCGGTACAGGGTAGTTTCGTGCATCTTCCAGCACCAGCTGAACCAACCCTTCCGCGCAGGCAGCCAGCCAACCCCATCTTGCTCCCACCTCTCCACCTCGCTGCCACCCCTGCCAGCTGTTCCAGTGGCAGACCAAGCTGCGCAAAGCTACCGGTTACTCAGGTCTCCTCTCCTGGTACTAAAGCAAAGCGTGCAAAGAGCTGCTGGCTTCTCAGCGATACACACTGCCAGCTTCAACCCATCAAAAACCAACCAAAACCAAACCAGCGCACACGGTCCAACAGGCCACCAGACGCCGCCAAAGCCAAGGAGCCAGGGCCACCCAGCGCTTCGCCAGCTGCCCAGGTAAGACCTCCGCTGCCCCTCCGCCCGCTCGCGGTGACACACAGGGCCGACCCAGCAGCGCTGCTCCTTCCAGGACACGCTCCCA